GAGAGAGAGAGAGAGAGAGAGAGAGAGAGAGAGAGAGAGAGAGAGAGAGAGAGAGAAAGATGAAGGAGGAAGAGAAGGAGGGGAAAGGGGGTATCATTTCCCACTAAAAATTTTTTTAGTCTTTTCAAACCTCTTCAGTGAGTTCAATCTTCAATCTTTGTGAACATACCTGTAGGCCCAATTCTTTCCAACTCAAGAAATACAGGGGCCTGCTTGCTCTCGGAATTCAATTTAGCATTTTTTAAAGGAGGCCTTAGCGCTACCCTCCGACTTAGAGCTGTCTCCCACACACGTGTGAGCATTGTACGTGCCATGGGTCCTCTGTTACTTGCAAAACGTCCTGCTCCCTGTGGAAATTAAATTCCATTCCAGTGTTTTGAACTTCGCATGTTTAGTTCATGACCTGGGGGCCCTCAGAATGTTAAATCTAAAACTCGGTGTGGGTTTTCATGAACAACTTAGGACTTGGTCTAAACGCCCCCATTCCTTCTGGGCAGCCAGAGGCAATTGCAGTTGCAAAGTATGCAGGCTGTCCACCCTCAGCTCTAACTGGGAATGGTTTGTTCTGCGACACTCCAGCTTCTAGGCACAAAATATTTGTCAGCATGTGGCCTATGTACATCTATGCAGATGGTGGACGCAATGATTGTCTCGTTGTTTCCTGTTGTTAAATGCAATCATTTGTCTATAAATATTCTTCCTCTCGATGGCATGGACATAAAATCCATACTTCTCACCCAGCGTGTGTGAGGAGGGGATAAAAGGAAAGGCCTGCTAGGAGGCACTTAGTAAGGATGAGTTGTGTACCTACTATGTGGCTGGAGAGTCTCCACACCTCATCTCTAGAAGACAGGTGATTTTTTTTCTTAGCCTTCCAAGAGGTTAAGTAATTTGCCTGAAGTCACGTGTTCTGAGCTGGGACTTGAATCCAGTAGTTCCTGATTCGGGAGCCTGGTAGCTTTGGGTTTTAAATGAAAAATATACTCACTTGGGGGAAGCAGACAGTTTGTCTTTATCATCTAAAGCCCAAGTATTCTTTCCCAGGAATGGGTTTGCAGAACCGTGTCTTCAGTGACATAAAGCCAGGTGGCCTGGTCTTGAATCCTGGCTCTCCTTCTTACTGGCTTTGTGACCTTGGGCGACAATTTAACCTCACTGTCCTCACCAGTAAAATGGGCATGGTGCTGATGATAATCCTATCTACCTAAAAAGGTGTTGTCGGCAACCAATAGGATAATCTATGAAGTATGGCAAGCCCTCAATGATTAGACTAAGATTGACTTACATGTTCAACCAGAGGTGGAATGCCAAGTTCAAGGAATGCACTCCTAGAATTAGAATTCAATAAACCAATTGGAAAGCAATGAGGCTTTCCTCTTCCCCCCTTTTTAATGGACTTTCCCAGCAGCCAGGAATGTACCTGTTCCTTCAACAAATGCTTGCAGAGCCCTAACATGGCGCCAAATTCTGAGCTGGGCGCTGAGGAAATAAAAGTGAACAAAACAGACACACTTCCCCATTCCCCAGACCGTGGGGCTCACAGTCTGGTGGGGAAGATGCCAATTATACAGTCAGGCCTGTGGTGGGTTAAAGCACATTTCTCTGAACAACACAACAAAGATGAATGCTTTTTCATCAAACCAACTCTGCCCTCAAGTTTTTATAAAAATCTTGTACAATTTACTTTGAAACGTGTTTTTTCTTTTGCCCAAGAAATGGTTGTTTTATGGAATTATAGGTTGTCTAGTTTCATGAATCTCCTTATCCAACACATGCTATTGCTAAAAGCCTGTATGTTTACCTACATTGCTACAAAACCTTGTTGACAAACCCTGCTTCCTGTTAGTTCCAATTACAAATGGCAAATTGGATTCGATGTTTTTTTCACACATCAGGTATTTAAGCAGTTTTTTAAAAATATCTCTCTTAAAATGCCAACTAGAATATTTCTGGAGCAAAATGTCATCTTAATGGGGATTTAGAATGTAGCAGTGGATGGAAGATGTTAGGGTTTTTTAAAATGTTTGCTGGGCTTTTAGAGGGCTATTAGAAAGTCCAGAGAGCCCTAACTTTTCCTTTTGGGTTCGTGGGGGCATTGCTGGGCATTCCTCTGGACACGTGTGCTCTCTCTGTCCTTCACGGTCTGCCCTTGGAGGGTTTGTGACAATGGGCTCTCGGTCCATGTGAGTCATAGATTCCACTCCAGGACACCCTTTGAGGGTGAGGGGTGCTAAGAAAGTGACACTGATCAAGCTGGGTGTAGCTGAGGGGCAAAGCAGGGTGACGCAGGACATGGCAGCTATCTCCTGAGAGAGAGAGTCCACGTGCAGAGAACAAGAGATTGTTTGGTGAGGTGGGAGATATGAGACAGGAGGCCACCAGCTGGGTGACGGCAATGTCAGGGGCATCAAACTGCAGGTCCACCCCTGCTGTCTTGCCAGACACTAAGGCTTCAGGCACCTTCCATGTAACACAGAACAAACAAAACCCAAGCAAGCCACTTACAGTTTAACCTCTGGAGAGAGAAGGCTCCTTCCTACCCAGGTCCGGTCCCTCTGGGACGCCTTCTAAGGGGACTTCAGGACTTGATCTTGGGCGGTGAAAAAGCCTGAGAGTCAATGGAAAAGATGCTGAAAGCGTGTGATCCGGTTCCAGACAGAATTCAACATAATGAAAGGAAATATTGTATTATCTGTATTACCTTTCAATAGCTCCCTCTCCATCACTCTCTTTAAATACATACACACACACACACACACACACGTGCAAGCACATTTGCACAAACACACATGCATCCCTCTGGAAGTGGTGGAAGCCAAATGCTTCGTGTTTTCCAGCATTTGAGCCTGGTCTCACCAGCCCTCAAATGTATATACCGCTCCGAAGTCAGATGGCAGAGACCCTTCTGTACCCAGATGTGTTGTGACACTGAGCATCTCGCAGTCCCCTCCACTCCTTGTCCCCAGCCTTATGTAATCCAGTGGCACTTATGTTTTCTCAGTGTGTCTGTTTGTATCATTTAGGCTTGAGGTCCATCTGACAGTGACTGTATCTTTTCTGTACACAATGTATTCAGTTACTATTAAACAATAATAGTTATTTAATAACAGCAAGTTGTGTGCCTCAGGGAGACAGGACTCACTGGAGAGCAGCGGGAGCTGGGAGGGGGTTGGACACGTGTCACAGGGCGTTGGATGTCTTCCGGGTGGGAGCATCTCTACTCCTTGCCCTGGTGATACTGATCCTGGAGCTCTAGAAGAAAACAGAATGTCAGGGTCCCTTTGGGAAGTAGAAATTTGTCCTTGAAGTACCAGAAAAGATGGGATTACTTTAGCTCTGGGTAACTGGTGGGAAGCCCCTCAGTTTGATGGCAAAACCCCCAACAGCATGGAGAAAGGCTAGGGAAGGTGTTTTTTAATAGTTTTTTTTAAAGATTTTTATTGGGGAATTGGGGGAAGGGGAACAGACAAGTTGCTGTCCTTTGTTCTTCAGTCTAGTTGTGGAGGACGTTGCTTCACCTGCCCAAGTTGGCACCATCATTGCGCTCTTCCTGGGCGATGCAGATAGTCACCAGCTTCTGGACGGCCACTCCCGGTGGCTGCTGGCCGCTCACGCTGGCTGCTGGCTACACACGGTAGCCCATGGCAACCCACTGCTGCAGGGGCTGCAGCCTACGCCGTCGCCAGCGACTCATGGCAGCCCAGCTCCAGGTTGAGCTGTTGTTCAGCATCTTAGCTGTGGAGGGCAGTGTCACTGGCCCGCATATGTGGGATCCGAACCGGGGCCCTCTGGTGTCCCAAGCCAGCTCTTAACCAACACGCCCCTCGGCCGGCCCTAGGGAAGGTGTCTTGAGGTCATTTTCTTTCCCACTCCTATCTCTCTCAAGTTGGCATCTCCACAGCTCAAGACCATAAAGGATTAGCTTCTTTATTTTCCCTGTCTCTTGGAGGGAGAGAGGCACCTGTTTGTGGAAAATTGGCTGAAGTGAGTTTTCAAGGGTCCCTTGCAGTGATGCCACCAAGGAGGGGCTTACAGATGAGGCAGGGAGTAACCTCCTCAGGCTTGTATCAGAGCCCTTAAAACCATCCCCAAATAGATAGGCCTTATAAGTTGCTCCCCAAAGTGTGGTTCAAGACTAGCACAACTTCTCCTGATTATTAGAACTATGGAATCACAGAATTTGCAGCAGCTCAGGGCCAGAATTAGCATTTTAACAAGACACACAGGAAGGCACGGGCATTAGAATCAGAGAAGTCTGCTCAGTCAGCGGTTCTCCTCCTGGCTGCACACCAGCATCATCTGGGAACCTTTCAGAAGGACCCATTGGCTCCCTGTAGGTTAAGAAGCACTGATTTAGACGAGTAAATCAGACTGGGTTCCATCTCCCTTTGCCCCTCGGTTGATGTATGAACTCAGGACAGCTCTAGGCTGGCTTCTAAATTTGTGAAATTGGGGGAATAATTAACGCTATCTTCTAAGATTGTTGTGAGGATTAAAAGAGATGCTGTTTGTAAACTGTGACGCACAGTCAGTCCTCAATAAACAATTACCTATTGTCACCCAAACAGGATTTAAGAGTGCTGGCGTAAATCTCCACGATGATGATGTCGCGGGGGAAGTTTTAGGTGACTCCTTATGCATGGAGATTTCTTTGAGCTTATCAGCCACTATCTCTAAGTTAGCACACTGTATCGGTCTTTCTCAGTGCCTTCAGTAGCTTCTCATTGTTTGATAATTGATGCC